AAAAAAAAAAAAAAAAAAAAAAAAAAAAAAACACTCGTGCCATTGTTACCAGGCCTATTACGAGAGCAAATACAACGTCCATCTTGGGCACCATCGCTGCCCGCAGGTTTTATTACAGTCGGTATAAAAAAAACCAAGACCTGCCAAGAAGAGAAGAGCTGATGGATACATAAGTTCAGGAACTGTGACAGGTCATTATATTAGTTTCTTAAAATAACTCTAGATGAAATGGACAAATATCCGCATATGAAAGGTCATTATATTGCTATGGACAATACACCCGTTCACATCCATGAAAACATAAAGAAGTGTATTGAATACCGAGAATATAAATGTGTGTATCTTTCTACTTACTCTTTGCCACCGTCCAGAATTGTTCAATTGGGTTACTCAGGAGAGTAAGATCAAGCGTCATAGATTTTTGCAGGAAGAAACTTTATCAAAAAGAATCACAAAAGCGTGCAAAAATGTGGAGAAAAGTCATACCAAAGGTTTTGTTTGGCATTCTTACAAGAGTTGGGATAAATATCAAAACAGAGAACTCAGCAACAAGAATCAGATAAGCAGAAGCAGGTAAATACAAATTTATTCATTTATTTTTTAATATAGGTCATGAGACGATGATGGTCCTTGTCGAAACGCTGGGAGCCATCCGGCAATTGAAACGCTGATTGGCTACCATCCGGCAGTCATTCGGCAATTATGGCAACAAAAACTGATCTTTTGCTTTTTACTGCCAAGCAACAATTATCATCATAGTACGGAATTAAGCAATACGTATGCTTTTTTATGTTGATTATTCCGTCGGAAATGCTAAAAAATGTGAAAAGAAAATTAGGGACCTTGGTGACTTTGAAATCTGTTACAATGTTGATCCCAAACAGTCAATACTTGTTTCTCCCTAAAGATTACTTTCTTCAAGGCGCGTCAATGTCCGTTGACTCATTTAAGTTGCAAAAGAGACAATCGTATTATAAATGTTTATAAACGTGATAAGATAGCTTATAGACCTCTTTAAGCAAAGGCTGTTTTATTGTACCCGGTTACATTTATAGTCATAATCCCATGATAAATATGCTTTAATGCTAAAGCATCGAGCTTTATTCCAATACAATAAATCAGCGTTGACAATAAATACCCACAAAAATTAGTAGTCACAAAATGAAGAATAGTATCGAAGTGGGAACTTGTGTAGTTTATTTTTATAATAAAAAAAAGACAAGACAGAACTATTGCTGTCTTGCAGGCCTTGGTTGGGGTACATAACAGGCGTTTTCTACAATTGATATAAATTGTTTTAATGCACTTACCAGAATATAAAAATCTTCTGGCTTATCCTTCAATTGACTGATCTTTTCATTATACTTGGCAAGTAAGATACGAACGTTTTGGTCCGCACTTTCTAACAGCCCACGGCAAAGAAGGTCTTAGTTATCATATGAGATATCATGTTTTTCTTACTTAACAACAGAGGCAAGGATGCGAGGAGAAAAGGGTAGCTTGGTTACGCGGCTGATCAAAAAAATATGCTGACACATCTTTGTTTGATCAGAGCTGCTGCAGTTCTTCAGAAAGCCTTCCTTGGTATCCGTCTCATAGAAGAGGATGCTTTCAGTGAAATATCTGCACTGACAAACATCTCCTTCGAGCTGCTCTACCATGGGACAGGCAGCATTGTAATCAATGCAGTATGCTGTTCTTCTCTTCTTTTCTTAGTTGGCTGTCAAGCGAAACCCACCAAAATCATGCGCAGACTTGATAGCGTCCTGCCAATAATCTAATGCTATCACTTGGGATAACAGGCAGACTAGGTGACATACACACAAAGAGCGAGGGCGATCAAGATAGAACATCTTCAATCGATTATGATGCGATTTTATCAGGCTATTAACGTGGAAAGAAGCGTTCTATAAATAGACGGAAAAGTTAGATTTTAGTAAACTGAAACAATAAGCATTAATGATTACCTGTCTCCACGTTTTGGACCACAATTCCTTCCTTGGAAGTCACAAACCATTGGAGTGCGTAAGGAATACTTTAAATTCTTTATTTGACTTTGTTCTTTTACAACGAATATCTTTATTGTTTTTAGTATTTCTTATTTATTAACAAAAGAATGTTTGCTTACTTTTCTGAGGCAATTGTTGTAAAATCCATAATTATCTTATTTCCCGCGTTGTAGGCCCAGCAAAATAAAGGTCAAAACAGAAAAAAAAAGGTCGCCTGAGATTAAGTATATGTTTCATAGAAAAGGAGCGCCATCAGAGAGAGTGTCACTATTGACGCCCCATTTCAACTTTAAAGCTACTGATTTTAGCAGTGTTGTCAACAGAATAAACAACAATGGATAAGTTATAGCCACCTTTGAATAAATTTGATCATTGTTGTCCATCTTCCTTTTCCTCTCTTTCTTATGACTAATCTTCTGTATCCCTAATGGACGCTATTACTATCCTCTCAGAACAAGCAATAAAAGAAAGATGCCAGTTCTTCATTTATCAAACCTTCAAGTCAAGATTAAAGCGAGAAATGATAAACCTATCCAAAAAAAGAAAGTCCAACGGAAGAAGTACTTTTAAAAGGCTTGGAGGAAAGGGAAATAGCAAAAAATAGTTTGCTAAATGTATACAGAGACGCATCAGAATTATGGAATCAAGTAAACAGTTTGTTAGAAGGTAACGAAACAGAAATACTGAGAGGGTAAATACACTTATGCCTTTTATTTCAGACAATACGAGTCCAAGCACAACCGTTACTGCTTGCAACCATTTGATGTTTGCACAAAGCTATACATTCTCGTGATATTGCCATGGCACCAATATGCGAAAGAAATAAGAAAAGAATGTATGATCAGCTTTTTGTCGATCAAAAGCTTCAAACACAAAAGAAGGAAGTAAACACAGAACAACAACAAACAAAACGTATAAAAATGGTCACCACACCTCTTCAGGCTATTCTCAAAGATGATAACGAAAGTGTATTAAATACATTAAGAAAAGGACGGAGAATTGCATCTGATGTCTTATTAGACATCTCTATCATCATAGAGCTCATAGTGAAAGATTATTTACAGAGGTAACACTATTAGGGTTTTAGCAAAGGCGGGTCAATGCTGATATGTTCTTGTTTTATACTATTGGGGAAAATAAATTACGCATTAATCAAGTAATACCCAAGGAAACACAGAGAGAAGAAATTAACCTTATCCTAAGCGTCCCTAAGCCAACGTTAAAAAAGGATTTATTGTTGCAGCAAGCTAGGCCAGTAAAAGAACGAAGGGAATATGAATTCCTTTCATACCATCACTTGTCATTTGTTTACAGCCATTTCTTTGGTAAAAGATCAAGAACCCCTTCAAGCGAAGAAAGCAGACATCAGTGCAGCAGTGAATATTCTGAAAACTGGATTATACAAGATGATTACAAACGACGACCACCCTTCGTTCTCAAGAAAAATGAAGAAAAAACCTGCTATAAACAAATTACTTCATATCTCGACACAGTTTGGAAAGCTGATGTCAGCGTAGAGAATGGATCTTGGATACTTTTTTGAGTGTTTAGAGCTCTCCATAAATCAATAAATTCTGTTACTGCGTCTTTTTTTTTTTTTTTTTTTTCTCTTTTAAACATGGTGGTAAGCAAATGCTCACTGTGTATATATGTGTGTAGACTTTCTGATTCTTTAATAGAAATTAGGCTTATATATCAAAGCAGACCTTGAGAACGTCACCGATCTTGCGCCTTTTGAAGATAAAGAATGGTACTTCAAAGTAAGGTTTCATAGCAGACAAAAAAGAGTTTTCTAACCACCTACACGCGTCAAGATTGAATGTACAAGTTGCCATGAGGTTGACAACAGCTGGATTTCGTTCAATCGACAAGTAAAAAGGCAGTTATCACATCCAATGGATCGTTTTCTTATATAACGTAGGATACTTATGACATGAGTGGCTCTCGAGGTTCTGCTAATTTGGTCATGCGCTGCAAATTTTGCAAGCGTGAAGGCACTGCACGTAAATAATACTGATGATCAGTGATGTGGAAATAGCTAATATATTACACAATCGCGTAGAATTCGAGCCTTCTTTCAAAATAAAGAATTACAGCATTGAAGAAAACGGAAAGTTCCAGCAAATTGCTCAGTTTGATTGTCGTGGATTGGAACTTGTTGATTTTCAAGCAAAAGTAAGATGCTCCCTCTTCAACATACATTGTTTCAGTGACTTATACTATCATTAGGATTCATGGTCTGCAAAGGGTGCAGAGACCGAGACAACCTTTGACGACATTGACCTTTCTGAAGGAGAATGGGCTGATTATGATGAGAAGGTATAAAGTGCATCAAATGACCACCCTATATCTCATACAAATGTTTATTTTGTTAGGCAGGAGAGCCTGTAGGTATCAGCAATATTGAAGTTGAATTCAGAAAAGAGAAATAAATATAATCTACTAGGAGTAAATGTCTAAACTCCAGAAGGAGAACCGTGTTCGATACGGTGACAAAATGCTTGAGGTCTGCCACATCCACGAAGGATGCCATTGGCGATCTTGAAAATATTTTTTGAAGCGTTTATATCCCGTTGCCAAAACAATCCACATCCTGTGCAGGATTGGATGCCGTGGAAGTTTATAAAAGCAGATGTGAATGCCAATTTTCGCAAGAGTTGCAGATCTATAGATAGTTAAGTAGGATATTCAAAATTAGAGAATAACGCTTTACCTTTGACGTTCGAAACTCATTAATTGTTACAACAATAACGTCGCCTTGCCTTTCTCTTTTTTTTAATGCTCTGTAAGGACACCTGTTATTCCTGTTCTATGTCCTTTGAATTTGATGCTGTCCTTTCCAAACATTCCAGAGCCGAAGGCAACTACAGGTTTTTTCTCTCTGTCATACGAGTTTCTTTGTGGCCACCACTGCTTTTCGGGCCTATTGACAAACAGTTGTAAGTTATCAAATAAGTACATTGCTGCTTATATAGCGGTACCTTTCGCTGCATTCTTCATCTTTCTTCTTTTCATCTTTTCCCCTTTTCTCTTTCTTTTTCTTTCCCCTTCTGCGGTTTTTCCTCGTATTTTTTCTTCTATCCTTATTGTACTTCTTACCACCGTTGATCAATATATTGACCATTTCTTCTCTAGCCCGTCGAACTCCTTGATAACAGTGAAAGCGTCCCTCGGCTGTTTCGTATCCATAAAAATCTAATATTTTCTGAATATTGGCCATTATATATGTCATATACATATGATATTGCATCAAGGATGTAGTCTTGATCGAAGGGATGTTCAGCAATACACTTTTCATTCCTTCCTTCTCCATTCTTTTCTGTTCTTTTCTTTGATGATGAATGGACCCAGTGTAATTGTAATATTCCGCTGTCGAGACTCTTCTTATTTGATGAGAATTTTCTCCCTCGTTATAGGATGCTGTGAATGCATGTTGTCTATCAGGGTCTAGGCCGCACAGCGAGAAGTTGTCAACATCACCAGGTTTTAAGACATCGCTCAGAAGTTGTATACCAAATGTACTGTCTGAGCTTTGTTCAGTTACATCTTCATTATTGCTCACACCCTTATATAGCACCACATCCGCTGCAAAGCCATCAGATCTGATTAGATTAGCAAATGCGGTTTTATTTTTTGCTGCTGGCTTTTTTAAATCTTCAAAGCTATATTCATTATGATTAACTATTAGTCCATAGATATATATATATGTACATATGGTCATTAATAAATACCTGTTCACACCCAAACTTGACAGGTCAAAGACAGTATTGAACATGTTAAATTTGTCTTCATAGTTGCTTTGTTTAGGCTTGCCAGCAAAGGATGACAGCGTATTGGGGTTAATTGATACGGATCGCCATTTCAACGAAGACACAGGGGACAAGGAGAATAGCCGGGCCATATAACTTGGTTTTCTTGCTGTTTTTGATTTTCCGCCATATATCGCTTAAGTATCTCTCTAAGCATTGGTATATATGATCCCAGAGATGCAGCCAAACTTTTGACCGTAACTGGCTTAGGCATTTCTATTCTCAAGAGATCTTTACAGAGAGAATTTATGGCAGTTCTTTCATCGATCGTTATATCTGTAATATCCTCAGGCCATGTTGCTTGACCATCACAGATATACTGGTAGCCGTATTCAGCAAGCTTTTGAACATATTTGCTATTTAACTATGTATATAAGTGTATAAGAGTGTGTAGTGTACAATATAAAGAATCGATGTTTAAAAACATTCAACAATCATATTATTATAGCATGTTGCTACTTCAACACAGGCAGCAGTCAGGCATTGACTGTATCCGGCAACGGGGTTATCCATTCTATATACTATTTCTTTGTATCGACTTGAGAAACTTCCCCAGCTGCTAAAAATGTCGCCTGGAAGTAGCTTTTTGTTTGTTGGTGTTTTGCCCAATACCAATTGACTGATAGAATACCAGAAGTTCTGAGTGAAGACTTTCTTATCGACAACAAGTCCATTGTGAGTCATGATATAGTAATTCACAAAGAGCTGGGCACGAACCAAAATGTTCCTAATGTCTTTGGACACTTTGATTATTTTGTCTTTTATGTTTCTATGGGCAGGACGCAGAATAGTTTCTAGTTTTGTTTTGACTGTTGTTGTCTTTCGATTCCCCATGAGCTGCTGAAGTTCTTCTTGTTTTGTTAACTTTCGATTTGGGCATAAGGAAGATTTTGCATTCTTGTGTCCTTTTTGGTGGCAACTTGTACAAACAATGTCTTTTTCTTGCTCATCATTGTGATCGTATTTCGCCTTTTTCTTTTCTTTTTTATTCTCAATCTTCTCTGCTTGACTCATCCTTTTTCTCTTGGCTTTACCCATAGCACATGGATGATGTTTATGAAGTCAAAGATGATTGAAACTTCCATTATTTTACCTTTGGATGAGGTTTGATGTTTCTCATTTTCTATTTGTTTTTTTCTCTCACACATTGCTTTAAGAAAACTACGAACTTGATCGCGCATTGTGTTTAAAATATGAAAGAAGAGATAAAGAATAACAATAATTGTAAAAGGTGTCTTGACATGATTTATTTTTAACAACAAATTCTGTTTGACGACATTTTTTATTTATCTACAATACTATGTTCATTTTGCCCTTAGTCTTTTCTCTCCTTCTCAAGTTCAATACATAAATGATACCAAATTTAAAAGAAGAATGTCTTCCTTCTTTTAAGTGTCTATTTACTTGTGTAATTCTCTTAGACAGAATTGTAAAGTTGTTGTCTATTGTTTTATCATTAGATAAAACAACTCATTACTCTCGTTTACAAATTATTTTATTCTCGGATAATGCAAGGCACTTTTTTATTTCATGAAGAAACAAATGTAAATAATGATTTGGCATGTATGCAGCATGG